GTTTCATGGTGTCGCTGACTCGAGAGGTCCCGGGTTCGAGTCCCGGTGGGGGCAGATGTTTGTGTAATGAATACGAGCATTTGTACTACAGTCATGGATGTTTCATATGTATTTCTATACAAATATACTTATATATGTACTGTATATGTATTCTATCCGTTATTCTAGCATCCCATAACACACGCCTTACAGTGCTTACTTTGGGGCTAGGCTAATTGGTGTAAGTGTTGGAAATATTTATTTAGTTAATATTACTCCTAATATTAAACATTATTTCTAAAAACTCAAAATTCATAGTTACGTATGCTTGTTTACTGCATTGATCCAGTTTTGTCATGAGAATACTATACTTTGGAAAGTAATAAAACGACGACTTCCGTGGCCGAGTGCTTCAAGGTGTCGCCTACTTAAAAGGTCTTTCCCGGGTTCGAATTCCGGTGGGGCAAATGTTTGTGTGAGCGAGCATTTGTACTGCAGTCATAGATGTTTAATATGTATTTCTATATTCTATATAAATATACTTATAAATGTATCAGTATAGGTATTCTATCTGTTACCCTAGTATCCCATAACACGAGCCTACAGTGCTTACTTTGGAGCTAGGCTAATTAGTGTGTTTTAAAAAAAAATTCGCTATTAGTTTCTTTTTTGTGTAATGTATTGTTATATTCAGAAATGCAACAATGCATTATGATTAGCTAGAATAATAATTTTCAGTAATAAAATTAATAATGTTTATTTTTCATAAATGTCAATGTCAACTCTATTAATAGAGTACAAGATTTATATTTTCGACGCCAGTCGGCAGCACCTTCGTTGTACTCGTTCCATATAGAAAAGTTTGAAAACCCTGGGTTTCATATTGTCATGAAATAAGTCAAATACCTTTTGATTGTGGTCGAAGGAGAAAAAACAAGATAGCACTAAGGGGTTGTGATGTAATCGCCTTTAATGCCACTTGTGCGAGGGAGACAGAAATCACATAATATTAATTCTTCAGCACTTCTTCTCTATAAAATCTTTAAATAAGCAAAATCGCACACTGATTCGTGTTCATTATTAACACATTTCGATATGAAAGATTTTCCTTCACGTGTTTATTCATTAATTTATTTTATATAATAAACTTACTTAGTTATCATTTATAAAACCTCAGAATAGATAAAAAAATATGTAGTCCCTCCAGAAACCAATTTATTCATTACATAATGTTTAATCTGTGATCGATACCAAGATATAGCCTTATCTTGAATTGTGATATTATATTTTGAAAGTATAGGTATTTTGGACGGCGGATAACCAGTATTTCATTTTCAAGGTCTCCGCGAATATGTTCACGATAATCCATCTGAATTATGTAATAACATTGTAGCGACAATATCTTTGAACTATAGTTTTGAGAATAAATATTATTATTTTTACCAATACGTCGTTACTACTCACAAATGTCAAATATTGTGGGGTTTCTTAACCAACTAAAAGCATTATTAGAAAAAAAGGACTTAAAAAGGTGTCTGAGAGAAATAGAATACTGAGCCGTAAAAATCCAGTACGCTAAAAAGTGTTATATTTAATACATAAAGATTCATGCGTAAACTTTCAGTACTCACGTAGGATCGCAAACGTGCCATTGTTAAATTACACGTTTTTTCACTATTAAAATTTTGAATCGAAACCTTAATAGCCTTTTTAGGTATTTTTGATTGAATACCTAAAAAGGCTATTCTAAATTATGATGGACAAAAATAAATATGTACAAATCGCGTTCTACACCGAAAAAACAAACTTGATGATTCCTTCATGTGTCCGTATACCGTATAGCATGCTGTATGTAAAAAAGATTTTGGTATGCATGACCATTCTTCCACTAGCTCAGTCTTTAACTCGTGAAAGCGATCTGGACTCTCGGCCGAAATCAAAAATTTCAATGAACTTTTCAGCTTAATTAGATGCTGCTGTTCTTTCTTTGATTCAACAATAGAATAAGACAGACAACGCGTGATTTAATTAAGTATTAAATTTAGTTAGCGTATCTAGGTCTGATCGTTAGGTTAACAGTATTTTAAGTGCTCTACAGTAAAAAAAACACGATTCAAATATAACTTTTAATCAATCATTAATAAAGAAAGTCCTTTCTCGGTTGGGATTCAAACCCGCCTCCCGCTCAGGAGTTGAGCTTTCTACCACTGAACCACGGGTGCTTGATGATAAGATCTGTTTTTTAATAACAATTAAAAATGTAATTCCTTAAGCTTTAGCTTTAAGATCAGCAAAATATGAGGCGAAGTAATGAAAGTTTCACTTAAAAAATATAACATAAAATTTCTGTCTTTCCCCAATAAATATACAATTTAAAATATTTATCAATATATATACAGAAATCTGTTTTCAAAAGCAACGAGATAATGCTCTATCGGAGCCGATAAAATAATGATAAAACGAATTCACGTGCTTCGAAAACACGTATTACGTTACGGTTACGTACCTATGGTATTATCAAAAACATACACGAAATGTTTGAATGAAAAATTAAGGCCTGTGATACACTTTCTAGCGAAATAAATTTATGTTTATACAAGGTCATTATATTCAATGGTTGAGGTCTTTAAAATTGCTAAGCTTTTGAATCTTTATTTTATATTTCGGATAAGTCTTTTGGCATAAATAATAATTTATTATGTATTTTTGTCATTTTCTGTTCTGTTACTCTGTTTAAGTTTCTTCTTGTATCGGTACGCAAGTAGAGGGGTAATTGTCTGATTTTGAATTGTTTATTAAAACGCCTTTTAATGTGTATTAAGAAAAGATATTACCATACTTCAAACTTTATTGAATTTAGTAAACATCTTGTTGTCTATTCATAGAAGTTGAAGTAGGTTCATGCGGTAGGTAGAGAGCATGCAGATTACATACTACTTTCGCTTGCTTCTGTTAGACGAGACAAATAATTAAAGAAAAAAATAAGAAAATATAATTCTGATTTCATTAATATAATATGTAATGGGTTGTTACGATGTATAAATTTTGCTTAATTGACTAAATAATTTCATTATTTTTTATTAGAATCGGTTTCAACTTCGAAATTAGTAAGCTCTCTCATCTTAACGTCAGATAGAGAGAGAACAATAATGATCAATTTTATTTAAAAAAAACATTATCCAAGTCTGGACACATGGACTAAGTGTGCAATAAATTAAACAACTCCTAGTATCCCGCACGAATATACCTAGCAAACCTTGCAGCTACGTTAACGTGTAATCAATTGTTTATTACGAGTATAAAAGGTATGTTACTGTTATAAAAATATCTTGGGGCTGAATCGTTGCACTAAGTTCCACCTGCACCAGCGTTCTTAAATCAAATTATGAAAGCTAATCATATTCAAGCCTCATTCTATCTCTGTTTGACTTCAAACAAATTGACAAAGATGGACTAATGTATGTAACAGGATTAAGGCTTAATTTGAATGAAGAATGTTATCGCAAGTGGTTAAGTGTATCTGTATTGTCCAGTCTCTATGGATGGAGGAGGGGCCTCACGCCAGGGCGCGCTGCTCGATCTGCTCCGCGACTTCGACCTGCCGCCGCCACAGCACCCACCTCATCGTACGGACCAGCCCTGTGCGCATGCCATAGCCCCCGCACCCTTTCTAGACTAGCCCTAGCTACATCCCTGTTCGAATAGATTTTCCATAAACCATTCAATAAGATGGAATGGAGGTCAATAGCATCACATAGCAGCGTTTATTCAAACGCCTCATCGCAAATCAACGCTCAGAAATTCACTCCTGTTGCCGTCATAAATACATATCCGTTTGTACAGAAACAAACATTTTGAATAGAAATAGTATAGAACTTCAGTAGAAACTCATCGCCTCGTCTTTTGCTAACACCTCATCAAAAATTCATGTTTAGAAATCATTTTACCCCTGTTGCCGTTTTAGCAACTGTTTTCTATTACCACCAATTTCGTAGTTATATTCATCAAATCTTGTAATCTTTCTAAAAGTTGCCCTAGTTAAATCCTTATTTGAACAGAAAATCAACAAACCATCAGTTTTGATTTGTAATCTTACGCTTAACAACAAATTTATGTCTACTGTTGTGCAGCTTTTGTGCTCACATTTCTATTTCTGTCTCCAAATATGTACAGTTAATGCCACAAGTAACTGCGAATGAAAATGATTATTGACCTTAAAGTATTTTTCATAAAATTGAAATCCTTTTTTTAACCTCTGAGACTATGTTCTTACCTAATTTAGTACTGGTAGTACTTGCCTAACTGTATCATCAGAAAATCATCTTAAAAAAACAGTTTTCGTGACCCACCAATTAGTGTTTTAGAGACCACAAAGCCAAATTATGTTATGAAATTCCGATTGATTTTGGATAGGTATTATGAAAAAATTGTCAACTTTCCGTAGATCTCATAGCAACGTCTATCACATGTCGAGTAGACAATGCTTACTTAATGAAGAATTGTTGTTTCCATCTCCATTTTCATAAATTCCCGACTACAATTATTTTTCACAACAGCAGTTTCATCTGAATTATTATCAGCATCACTTTGTGTCTTTTGTATAACAATGTTTAATTTATGATCGTCGTGTTTCAGTTATTGTGATTTTTAAGGTGTGAACGTTACTGATATACGACAATCGCTTACTTAGACAAGCGTAGCATGTTGTGTAGAGCAGATGTTATTGTGATTATATGTTGCGTAGAGAAAAAATGTTTGTAGTGGAATTTGTATTTGGGCGAGTTTAAGCAACATCGGCTGGCCTTATTGAGTTCAGAGATCCCTTATAGAGAACCTTATACAGTATCTTCATTGTAATTTAGAAATATTAACACTCCATAAGGTTTGCCTTTTGACATTCATTTTTTTGCTATGTCAAAATTTAAAAATAGATGTAACACTTCATAAAATAAATAAAAACGTTAATAACCTACAATATAATTAACAATGCCTGCTTCTTATAATAAAACTACTGTACACAGAATATGGCAGATCAACGGCGACGCCGCAGCTCCCATGCACTACCAATGGATCGGTCTGAGCGAAAAAAATCTTCAACCGTAGCCATGGACATGAAAGAGGTAGAATACCTCGCATCAGCAGTTATAAACGGCTCACAGGAAGACATGAAACGTGGTCACAATGACCCCATTCTTAAACGCATCCCAGAAGACGCGGAAGCTACTACCGTTTTAGTCGGCTCAGTCGGTTTCCTTGAACAGCCTACCATTGCCTTTATACGATTAGCTCAAGGCATATTTATGCCATCCATCACTGAAGTGCCGATTCCAGTCCGTTTCATGTTTATTCTCCTCGGACCACGTGATGCCGATCTTGATTATCATGAAGTCGGTCGTTCCATTTCTACGCTCATGTCGAATCCGACATTCCACTCCATTGCTTACAAAGCAGATGATCGCCGCGAACTTCTATCAGGTATCAATGAGTTCTTGGACGATTCTATTGTATTACCTCCCGGTGATTGGGAACGCCAAGCGCTGCTCCCTTTTGATGAGTTACGCGCTAAAAGCGATATGATCAGGAAGAGGAAAAAAGAAGCTCTTGAACGCAAACGTACTGCTACTGAGACAGAGAAATCGCCTATAGACGAGAAGCAAGCCTTACTTGAAGCCGAGAAAGGCTCGCCGCCTCCTAAGGAACCGGATGATCCACTATCAAGAACTGGGCGCTTATTTGGAGGTAAAAACTTGCTGTGTATGTAAAAATAGTAGTTTCATACTTTAATTTCCCTTATTTAATTTTTATAACCATAAGCATCGAGATTTTTATTTGACCTCAGTTATCATCCCTTTTTTTAAATTAGATTCTAATGTATATCGTGTTTTCCAGGTGTGATCCGAGACATCAAGAGGCGATACCCTTTTTATGTATCTGACTTCACTGATGCCCTGAACGGCCAGTGCGCAGCTGCCACTATATTCATGTACTTCGCTGCACTTTCCTCAGCGATCACCTTTGGTGGTCTGCTTGCAGAGAAAACGCATGGACAGATTGGAATATCCGAAACGTTGGTGAGCATCTTTCATTGGTAATTTCTGGGACTACTAAGACAGGTTTGCAAATAATTATGCTTAATCTCATGCACTGATAATAAAAGCTTCAGACGTTATATAGGTAATTTGAAATTTCATTATATTTATAAGACATTCTTAAACCTAGAAAATAGTTTAGAATTTTTTAGTTATATAATATCGTTATAGGTTTTCACCTGCGCCGGCGGGGTCCTGTTCGCTTTGCTGTCAGGTCAGCCCATGATGATTACGGGTGCTACTGGTCCCCTTCTCCTCTTAGACGACGCGCTGTCCAGCTTCTGTCGTTCCAACGGGTTCGACTTCCTCGCTGCAAGAATGTACTGTGGCATATGGATGATAGTCATCGCAGTTTGTGTAGCTTCCGTGGAGGGCAGCGTTGCGGTCAAAAAAATCACAAGGTGAATTTGACGACATAAATTTATGAACATTTGCTATTTTTTGTAAGAGTGAGCAATATGATTCTCTCTATTTTTCGCCTTACTGAAGACTGCATTTTAGTTACATTTTTCTGTAGTATTATATTCCTGGCAAACACAAAATAAATTTATTCAGTACAGTAAGGTAGTCAGAGCTAGGCAAAAATTTTACAGCAGCAGAGTACTCCCTCTGTCAGAGTCTAGCTTTTCTTATTTGGTACCTGGATTTTAAAGTTCTTAATAAAACAATCTGTGACCAGGTTCACGGAGGATATCTTCGCGTTCCTGATCTCGTTGATCTTCATCGGCGAGCCAGTGACCAGCATCATCAATGTTTACCGCGCTCATCCTCTGGGCGTAGACTACTGCGCTCAAAATGAGTCTGCGGTCTTGCCCCCTCCTACCATTAATGGAACTAATTGTAAGTACCTACATGCAAAGATTAATATAGTTATAAGTAAATAAGTAAACTGTCATATGATTTCCAAATTAGTCATCAACATTTTTGGATTATATATAATAATAAAGGATTAACTAAATTCTTACAAGTGAAATGTTATACCATTATCTTTGTCTATATAATACTAAAACTATTAGTGCACTTTTGTAAAGCACGCGATGGTATTTTGAGATACTATTCTCGTAAAAAACACTGCAATAATTTGTCATAAATATGCAACGTTTAACTATCACATTTTGGGCGTGAAAGATATCGAAAGATATTGTAGCCATATTTGCTTGACTTGTTGTCAGATCATCAAAACTGATAATAAAAGCTTTTGCCTTTGCCTCTCAGTAAACATAAGGACAGCTTACCCGGATAATGTCTTACTTGAATATTCATAAGTTCTGGGGTAGGGAATTTAGCAGCTGGTGTATTCTATTACTTTTACTCGTTTACAGTACATATATAAAATAGGGGTAAAAATTAATTATCTCGAGATCTATCGTGCTTCAGAAGGCACTTAAAGCCGTTGGGCTCGACTGCATCCGCATCTGCAGTTGTTAAGACCCTGCAATCTGCAATGAGTACGCTAGGTGGATCATGGACCATGGAATAAGGAGTATTGCATCCATAGGGAACTTTTACCCCAGCAGTGGAAATATTAATAAGCTACTGATGTATGATATATCTCCCTGCAGCGGACAACTCGACGATAGTGACTCCGACGCCCTCTGTCAAGATACTGCCTCAACCGAACACAGCGCTGTTTTGCACAATGCTGACCCTATCCACCTTCATCATCGCTTATTATCTTCGTATTTTCCGCAATGGGAAATTTTTGGGACGCAGCGTAAGTAATATTAAATCTATTAAATTTTATCTTTAATAAATCTTAGCATTTAACTTATATTACGATACCGTTTCATTAGTGCTAGGTTTATAACATTAAGTAAGTAACAAATAAGTAGTAATCAATGAAATAACGTGTTAGGTTTATGTTACATATCCACATAGCACCCTCAAACATTTGATGTAAAAGTTTATTGCTAATTTTTAAACATTAAAGACAGCGCGAGTGTTTTCTCTGATAAAAATGTGGCCACTTGCCTATTACGTAGGATCTATTTACAATGTTGCATTATAATTCTATCCAGGCTAGAAGAGCTCTTGGAGATTTCGGCGTGCCCATCGCGATCATCCTGATGGTAGGCGTCTCCTGTCTGGTGCCAGTGTGGACTGAGACCTTGCGCGTGCCAGCCGGCCTCAGCCCCACGGCTGATCGCTCGTGGCTAGTACCTGCCAACCCCGGCCTGGAAACCATACCCTTCTGGGCGGCACTCGTTATGGTCTTGCCGGCCCTCATGGTCTACATCATCGTATTCATGGAGACACACATCGCAGAGTAAGATTGAGCCGAGATCCGCTCTCAGGGCTAAGCAGTCTTATGTTTTTTATGTAGAGGATTAGTTAATATCTTCTTTAGTGATCTTTTTGAGTCGACACTGAATTCTAATTCTTAACAGTTTTAAATCCATTTTAAAACAATTGTTTTCGTGTATCTTATTGAATAAATCTCCAAGTTTATCGTAATTCAGTATCGATCAGGCCATGTTTATATAATGTACTGCATATTGTTTTGTCGCTTCTACATGAGTACTCATGATTATTTTTCTTCAAATATATAAATTCATAATATAGCTATGCGACTTCTGATTCTTGACTAAGCTGTGATATTTTCAGTGCAAAGCTTTTTTAATTCGATTGTAAATTTTAATGCTGCTGTTATTAAATGCTTTCAAAGTGTTGATCAGATTAGTGTATAATTCGTCTCAAACTCAACTCGTTACAGATCAATCGGCTTACTATCACACTGTGAGATTATTTTGGGTTCGTTTTTGCATATTAAATTATAATCATAATATTTTATTTATTAATTTTGCCCAATGGTTTTAATAATTCATAGTGATTTGCATACATTCTTACACAATATTCACACAAGAAAAAACAAAAGTGTAATAAAATTCGCAGACGATTCTACTTGACTTTACTATGCAATATTGATCCGGAGACAACAACTTTATAGCAATGCGAATGTTTTAACCATTGTTCAAGAAAACGGATCCCAAATTAAAGCATCTGATTATATCCAGTATAAATGAAGTGCTAGTGTTCTATCACGCGCTTTGTATCGTCAGGTTGATCGTTGATAAGCCGGAGCGCAGACTAAAGAAGGGAAGTGGCTTCCACATGGACATCGTGATTATGTCTGTGGTGAACGCGGTTTGTGGCATGTTCGGCGCGCCGTGGCAGTGCGTGGCGACGGTGCGATCTGTCAGTCACGTGTCTGCTCTCACTGTGATGTCTACAACGCACGCGCCCGGCGAGAAACCTTACATCGTGGAAGTCAAAGGTGAGTACGCTAACATATTTATTAGGTTCATCATTCCACATGGATATCGTAATTATGTCTGTGGTGAATGTGGTTTGTGGCATGTTCGACGCGCCGTGGCAGTGCATGGCGAAGGTGCGATCTGTCAGTCACGTGTCTTCTCTCACTGTGATCTCTACAACGAACGTGCCCAGCGAGGAACCTTACATCGTGGAGGTCCAAGTTGAGTACGCTAGCATCTTTAGTAGGTAGGTTCGTCATTCCACATGGACATCGTGATCATTTATGTGGTGAACGCGGTTTGTGGAATGTTCGGCACGCCGTGGCAGTACGTGACGTCGATGCGATCCTGTCAGTCACGTATCTTCTCTCATTGTAATGTCTAAATCGCACGCGCCCGATGAGAAACCTTACATCGTTGAGATTAAAAGTAGGAAAGTACTTTGCTAAAATCTTACACTTGCTTGTTTAGGTTCGAGATGTCGTGAAAGCCCCTTTCGTCCCGTCCCGTCCCCGTCCCCGTCCATGTGGGAAGAGAGCAATATACTACACGTAATGGTGGAGTTTAGACACGAGTCTCATTAATGTAGTAGAAAAATCCCTACACCCCTCCATCCATCTTCACCTTGCCGACTTTGTAAATGAATTGTGAAGAAACAGTTATTATACCTATTTATTTAATTTATCCCTAAGAGAAGTTCGTGATCCCAATCGATAAATAACTCTTATAGCTCGTTTTTAAAGAATAAAAACTGTCTCAATGGCAGCCACCGTTCCCCACAATAGAATGTCAATACGACATAATGCTATGAAAGTAGCTAAATTATACTGTCCTAGCAGTGTCGACATCTGTAAGCTGTCTTATTTTATAGGTGGCATAAGTAGCAGAAATAAGGTTACCCGCTAGTGCTGTAATGTGAGGGTTCCATTGAAGTTTGTAATCTAGGGGTATGCCTATAAAAATGGTTGCCACGAATAAATTTAGTTTTTCACCATTCAGAACACAAAGAAAGGCCGTTTGTTGTGGTAAATCTTTCATATATATCAAAATTAAAGAATGAACCTAAAATGAAACCCTGTGGAACGCCTATTTATACATGAGATTTTACACAGTTATTATCAACTGTCTGTGTCCTAGTAGTTCGACGCGAGTGCACCAACTTTTGTGCCGCATCTTTTATGCCGTAATGATTTAACTTACGCAAACAAAGCTTGATGATTAGCACAATCAAAAGCTTTAGATAAATAGTAGAATATCCCAAGCGCATTCCGCGACCAAGCACCAAGCATCAAAAATATATTTCAGCATTCAGCAATGGGGCACCAGCATCAGTTATAGAACGGTTTTAGTCAACCCATACTGTGCCTTGTGTAAAAGTTTATTTATATTAAAATGAGTCAACGATTGTTCTAACATTATTTTTTCAAAGATCTGACTCAATACTGGTAATATAGTTATTATTCAATTATTCAAGATTCTATCTCACCCAATATCTTTATGATTGGTGAATAAGGTTCAAGTTCTCTACTGTGGGATCGAGGATAGGGCTGGATTTGGCAACGCTCGATCGATACTCTATGCTACGCTATCACAAGCGACTATAAGCTATGGTAGCCGCTTACCATGAGGCAACCCATAGGCTTTTGTTGTGATTCTTTTTACAAAAAATACATGGTCATGCATTCTAAAATCTTGTAATTTTTCAGAGCAACGCCTCACCGGACTGCTTGTAGCCATCCTGTGTGGCATTTCGGTGCTTGCCTCCGGCTGGCTACGCCTGGTGCCAATGGCGGTACTGTTCGGAGTGTTCCTCTACATGGGCATATCGGCTTTGGGCGGCATTCAGTTCTGGGATCGCTTCATTCTGCTCTTCAAGCCTGTCAAACATCATCCTCAAATACCTTACGTCAGGAGGGTGAGTCCATATCACAATGTTTATTCTCATCTTCTCATCAAAACTAAGAGCGTATACAGGGTGGCCGGGGAGTTGACGTTCAAGCGTAAAATTTAGATACTTTATGATGAGGAGTATCCAAATCACCCCCATGTATGTTCTACGATTTTGCGTAGTTTTCGAGTTATAATTTTTTTAATGATTTTTTTGTAATTTTCACCTAACATCGGTTTTCGATTTTTTTCTCATTCAGTTGGACGTTTCTAGTTAAGTTTTTTGTGATAACTGACTAACATAGTCTAACCTAGCACCCTAAAACTTATGGTTTATCTAGGCATTGCAGAATTTACTTAGAATTTACTTATTTTCGAAAGTTCAAAATTACGATTTGAGCTCAGTACACACAAATTTTCAAAGTATCAAAAAAAATGTAAATTGGGGCATTTTGAGTTCAAAGTGCTTTTAGAAACTGCCTGAAACATTAAACTATAAAACAAGACCAAATAAAGATAGGGTTAATGAGGGTTTATTTTCTGTAACTGACCTTCAAAGTAAATTAAGGCATTTTTCAAGGAAAAAAAATAATTATTTTCTTTTATTTAAATCTTTGCATGTCTCTCAGTTATGATGTATTTGAGTAAAACACAATTGTTAATGACCTAAATTCTACTACTACTTACTTACTTGTGTTTACTTACTCGTCTTGTTCTGCCGTTTTTTCTCGACCACTATTTGCCTACTTATACCGCCGCTGCTTACTTGTTTGACCCCTGCTTGTTACTGGATTCCGTAGTGCCTAACGATTTGGACTGTAGTTTCTTGGAAGTGTTAGTGATACCCTACACTCTGAGCAGTGTTGCCAGATTCGATTTTTAAAAATCGGGAGGTGTTATAGAAAAAAACAGTAGATGTATGGAAACAGCTACAAGAAAAACAGTAGATGTGTACTTTTTTCGATTTGCACCCCCCTCCCCCCCTAGAATTGGAAAATCAAATCAAGATAAAGACCAGTAATAACTTTACCTACATTATTAATGGCCGAAAATGCAACTCAACATGCAATTTAAAAAAGAAAATCGTATTCTAAGAAAAAACAGGAGATTCATGTAGAAAAACAGTAGAACAGGAAAAAAATTAGAAAAACAGGAGATCTCCTGTAAAATCTGGAGACCTGGCAACACTGACTCTGAGTGAATATACAGAAATGCATTATTTCTACGGCGTTGCACAAGGCAACGGTCGTGAAGCAGCAAGACTCTACAGGGATCAACTTCAATGCCGAGGCGGAGCGCAACCTGATCATTACCCTGACTATCGTGTGTTCATTAATACTCACAATACGTTAATGGCAGGCCGCATTCCTGGCCAACGTGGCGGTGAGGGCATTCAGAGGGTTGATCAGGAACGCAGGGAAATCGACCTGGAAGAAGTGCAACGCAATAGTAGTACAAGTACGAGAGCATTATCTCGTGACCTTGTCATACCAAGATCTTCAATACAGGATATTTTGCGTGAGGAATCATTTCACGCCTACCACCAAGGGCGGATCCAGCTTTGGCGCCAGGGGGGGGTCATATAGTCATGGTCAAGTCACAGTGGGTACAGATTATGAAGTACAGATTGTGAAGTGGGTACAGATGGACCCAGCCCAGGGGGGGGGGTCATGACCCCCATGACCAGCCCTCTGGATCCGCCCTTACCTACCACATACAAAAAGTACAAGCGTTGCAGCCTTCAGATTATCAATTGAGAGTCGAGTTCTGTAGAACTATGTTGAAAAAAGAGGAAAAGATCCCGGATACTTTAATAAAATCTTGTGGACCGACGAGTCAAGATTTGAGCGAACTGGGGTTTTCAATATCCACAATTTTCACATTTGGGCCGTTGAAAATCCACATGCCGCCAGACCATCATCATTATAACATCGTATTAGCGTTGACATGCGGTCTGGTGTTTTGAGTGGCGAATTAATAGGCGCATTTGAACTGCCATCGAGATTAGACGGCGACACATACAAAAGTTTTTTAGCAGACAATCTACCCATATTACTGGAAGATGTAAATCTTGAATTAAAAAGAACGATGCTGTTCCAGAACGACGGGGCGCTATGTCATTACGCGACACAAGTGCGTCGCCATTTAGACCAGACCTACCCCAACAGGTGGATCGGACGACGAGGGATTGTCTGGCCACCACACTCGCCTGACCTCAACCCTATTGTTTTTTTATCTGGGGCTACTTTAAAGAAATTGTGTACGCCAGAGAAGCTTCGAGTGAAGAAGAACTGAGAGCAAAAATCGCGAAGCTAAAACCACTGTGAAAAATAAACGTGAAGCTTTTAGACACCTAAAACATAATTTTTTGCTCACATGTAGATTGTGTATTTCTGTGGGAGGGCAAAATTTTGAAATTTTGCTTTAAATAAATGTATTTTATTCACAATTAACTGCGTTTTACTCAAATCCATCATAACTCATAGAAAGTCAAAGATTTAAATAAAATAAAATAATTCCTTTGAAAATGCCTTAATTTACTTTGAAAGTCATTTACAGAAAATAAACCCTCATTAACCCTTTCCTTATTTGGCATTGTTTGAAAGTTAAATGTCTCAGGAAGTTTTTAAAAGCAATTTGAACTCCAAATCCCCTCCATTTACATTTTATTTTGATACTTTGAAAATTTGTGTGTACTGAGCTTAAATCGTAATTTTGAACTTTCGAACAAATTCTAAGTGAATTCTGCAATGCCTAGATAAACCATAAGTTTTAGGGTGATAGGTTAGACTATGTTAGTCAGTTATTACAAAAAACTGAAACAGAAACGTCCAACAGAATGAGAAAAAAATCGAAAACGGATGTTAGGTGAAAATTACGAAAAAAATCATTAAAAAAATTATAACTCGAAAACTACGCAAAATCGTAGAACATACATGGGGGTGATTTGGATACTCCTCATCATAAAGTATCTAAATTTTACGCTTGAACGTCAACTCCCCGGCCACCCTGTATAGAGAATACGCTCTAAGGTTGAAAAGGAAATTGATTAAAAGCTAATATACCAAGACCAAGATGGCTCAGTTTGTCGAAGAAAGAGAAAGATTTAATAAGAGGAAAAGAAAGAAATTGAGAGCAAATATGTAAGGTTTGATCTTTCCCAAAAACTCGCCCATGGGAACTTTCAACAACAATAGACGAAGACGAATTATAGGTACTTCGTCTTCGTCTCTTCATCTCATCACTTTACCTTTATCTCTTCACCTATGACTATCTAAAAACAGTCATGGGTGACTATTTTTCTCTTTCTAAAGATTTGTCAATTCTAGGCGAGTATCGCTCAGTCCATTCTCTATGTCTTTATAAATTGTAACTGGAACTCAAAATCACTCACTATTTTTCTCAATGTCAGGTGCCGAGTCTGAAGATGCACCTGTACACATTAATCCAGCTAGCCGGCATATGCCTACTGTACGCCGTGAAGTCGTCGCAATTCTCGTTGGCGCTGCCTTTCTTCCTGGTGATGATGGTGCCGCTGCGGATGTCATTCGTGTACCTATTCACGCCGTTGCAGCTTAGAGCGGTGAGTTTCACGACTAATATGCCATGCCGAGGAGCTCGATAGCGCAAGTGGTTAGCGCGTTTGGCTACGATTTTTGAAGTTAAGAAACTCGGTTTTCGGTTCGGGAAGTGGTCGTTCATTGAATGGGTGAACAAAAATATACTATCCGCCCACCGTGCTTCGGAAGGTACATTAAGCCATTGGTCCCGGCTGCATCCGTCAACCCGCACTGCGCCCGCGTGGTGGTTCAAGACCTAATTTCTCTATTCCATCCATAGGGAAAGCCTGTGCCCCAGCAGTGAGGACATTAAAAAGTTGAAAATGATGATGATATTGCCATGCCTACAATCATAAATAAGTATATCAGGGTTCCTGCTCACTTCTTGGGTTAGCTGGCACCGACCTCAAATATTATTAATTTCACTACGAATGTAATTTAGATTTATATAAAGCAGTGGTTCTTAACTGGTGGTCCCTGAAAGCACCCTAAGTGTTCCGCGAAGCCATTCGAAAAAATATTACTTAAATAAGAACGCACGAGTACAATCAGGGGCGTAGGACAAAGAGAACCATGGTCTGGGAGTATTTTGATTTGATTTACTAATTCTGGGAGGTGGGGGTGCAAATCAGAAGTAATCGAGCCCTTGCAAGACAGAAACGTGACAAATGGTCCCTCATTACTAAAATATTAAGAACCTTATAGTAATATAAGTTATTTACGGGATTGTTACCATGTACCTTGTTTTTAGCGAGTTTCCGTACATAGTAACAATCCCGTAAATAACTTATATTACTATAATGTTAGTGACCATGAAAGTTTAAAAAAATATAATATTAAGAACCACTTATATTTTCATATTTCGGTTTTATTCACTGGATTTTTAAAATGTTTGCTGGGGGTATGATCGTTAATTTGTTACATATAAAACCTTATTGATGGCGTTTTCTTTTCCAGTTGGACGGTGCACAGAAAGACATTGACAACGACGACGAACCAGATTTCTACGAGGAAGCGCCGCTGCCATAAAACTCTCGTCTTATCATGCGTTAAAAACTCTCAGCGGTCAAACATTCATGTACTGACGGGACACTAGTAAATACGCGATAAATATGAATTAGTGACCAATATGGTAAAAGTTTAGTGCTCCTGGATTAATTTGTTAGTCAATGAATTTGTGGGAACTGATTATATCACACCAAAGGGATTATTTACAAGGAAAATAAGATATTGTTATTATTAGTTATAGAATTTCAAATTGGTGCACTTTGACAGCTCTTCAATTTAGTGTAACTGTATTCATCCAAGTGTAACTGTCAAGATGTTGCCAACTCGCTACTTTCGGCGCAGTTACTACTTATCAACTCCGCAGAAACTGTTTTCATGTAAGTAGGTAATTTTAACTTATATACGTAATTATTATCACGATTAAGAAAATAATTTATTAGGAAGAGTTCAAAGTTTTTAATAGATTAACTGATTCAGTTTTGTATTATATAAGTCCCTACCTAGTAAGATATTCTTAGGAATATGAATACTTAAATATTAATTGTAACAAATGAACAAAACTTATATATTTTCATGAAAGCAAGCATATAAAGTTGAGGATTGAAGGTTTGGTGCGCTTAAAGATTGAAGCACACATATCACGTCGGAAATGAAACCAGCCTCCTTAACATGGGCATCGCGTCATGATATATAGCTCGTTTTTATAACGCTCAATTGTCAAAGGACTTTAGAGTTTTACAGTTAGACGCGATTAAAACTGTGATATAATGGACATCATCTTACCCGAAGCGAAACGGTGTCATTAGCATTGCCAATTTGCCATATTATTCTCTTTAGCCTAACATGCTGGCTTTTAACGGTCGTGTCCTCGTACCAAATAATTTCAATTTATTTGCATTCGTAGTGTTTTGTATCTAAATTAAACTTGTTTTGTAACTAAATTTAACTCATTAATAATATCTAAATTGTTTTGTATAGTCATTTTAGGAAACATGACATCTTTGTTCTTTAAAAATAAAATTGAATAATGCTCAGTATGAATGTCGTCAGTCGATATTTATAATTATGTGAATACCAATATAAAAAAGAGTTAGAATAGTAGAGGATAATATTTGGCTTTTACGTACAAATATGCGGCCTAACTCAGGGCCAAGTGCGGCTGAAGACGGCAACCCTTTCTAAGGCGGCGTTTAAGTTTAGGTACATTGTAAGTACCTAGGTATTTCTTTGAAAAAATTCTAAATGTCTTTGGCTACATGGATGGTCTGTTTTCGCGAGGATCTGTGTGCCACAAACTTTGTAAAAAAATGTGATAGAATGCTGTATACACTTAAATAAGAATAGGAAATAATCTATTTTTCGTAGTAAAATGTATGATCACCTAACCCTAAAGGTAAAATTTGTTTGTTAAAATAAACAAATTGGCAAAGTTTTAACATACTTAAGTAGATAATTTTATTAAAAATTAGTATAAAAAAAGGTTTAAATTAAATGAATTTTTATAAAATAAATTCATCGGTTGATGTTAACCACTATTTGAAGTAACAAGCATGCTTTCGATATCGTTGGTATGCGTTAATACACACGTGATAAATGTTTTTTTTTTTAAAACATTTTTTTTAAAACATTTAGGAAAACTAACAAAAGATTTGGCACTGCTGGGCACAGAGAAATTTTTTGGGCTGTTAGAATCGAACTTCTCGGACTGTTCGTCAAATGTTCGGTCTTATTCATCAGTAGTAATGGCGTTGTAGACTCGATATTTTTACTATACTTATATATAAGTAATTGACATGTTTTAAAATCTATAATAAAAGATTTTATGATATCCACTTAAAATTAAATAAATTATATGACTCGTAAGTAAATTATTCTTAATGTGGTGTGAACGTCAGAAACAAAGGATGGGACGGCACTAAAAGGCTGTGACATATTCGCTATAAACGCTACATGTGCGAGGGAGATAGAAAGCTGCTTTCACCACACTCCCACGCAATTTCATATATTTTTTGTCCATTTAAAACAAGAAAAAGATATATTTATGATTGTACTTTATAATGAGTAAAGATTAGGAGTATATTAGACTCACAGAGCACATCCACCCGATTGTGCCATGTTTAAGCAGTAATACTACATAAGCGTCTGACGAGCCCCCAAACGTCGTGTTGCAAGGTTGCACTTAATTTGTCACCCTGCCATGACGTCACAACGTCACACTGACGCGTCCAATCAAAACACGGCTTACCCTCCTTGCACAAAGCGCGACGCTCTGCTAACATTATTTCAATTAAAAATTGAGTAATGCGCTCTATGCTAATCCCCTTCTGTGTTATTATTGTTCTATGAACTACCCCGTTGTGTTTATAGATGAGAGAGCGTAATAGTACTTATAATTGTTATACTCATTCTACGAATCGAACAAGATTCTGGCATGATTCTCTAAATTGCTGCTTAAAACAATGAAACTTGAAAACAAGGTATCCTTGTCATGTACTTAACAGAATGAAAAGGAGATATTGCAGTCAACGTTTAGTTTAAAGAATTATTCCAGAATCTGCCCCATTACTTACATTATTATTTCAACATTCTGATCGTATAGTCAACAGCCTGTCAAGGATCAATTACGTGCCAATTATTTCAATGAATTATGGATATAACTTTTGATAAAATCTTTAATGCAAAAAAAATATTTGGAGAATTCTGAAAGGTTTTATTAACAGACTGCTATGCTGTTGACCGTGTTGACATATACCTTCATAATAAGTTGTGAATAGTATTATCATTATTTATATTAATTTAACAGCAGTACTTTATTATGTTAAAATCGCTTGTTATAGTGACATTACTTAGTACTTATATTTTATTGCTTATCAAAGTGACGTGTTTTATTAAGTATTGCCATGGACGGTTTATTTACTATGTCCAAGTTTCTATGTATGTATAACAAAGAAAAAAACATCAACTTAAATCAATTCTTAAATCTTAGTTGATTTATGTCGCTTATGTGCGAACGTTATGCACGTACTTGACATGGCTATTTGTATTTGCTATGTGATCATTACCCATAAAGTATGATAACATCAAACTTTTTAATGTCGAGACAAGGCATGAAACCACTCTCACCCACCGAGAGTAGCAAGACGAGGGTATCTGTGGACTCCTCCCTGCCCATTTCACCCAGCTCTGTAACTCGATAAAACGGGCGGGGCCTTACCCAGTAAAAACCTGACAATACTCCTGCACCGGTCACCCAACACGCATTCTGCGGACCGCATCCCTCTTAATGCGTGCATGCGTACAGAAGCGCCTCTTGCCCATGTAGCGCGCTTGTGCAATCATTAACCAAGCACCCTCTAATAAGCGCATGATTAAAATGTAAAGTCAGCGAGTAACGTTCGTTCTGCGTCCTCTCCGACCGATGCACCCGTATGCAACACACACCCTGCACCATAGATAAAGCCACCACTGCATGCGTATTGCGGCACCCGATTTCCAGCTGACCGCGGCATGATGAGAACAACCTGCTGTCAAAATGACACAGCGAATACCTACGAATAGCCATGAGAGGCGCCTAGCATTACGTTGAGATCGGAAAGTGTTTTATGCAACGATAGTTTTATGCGATGCGATTTTTGTGATATGAAATAATAAGCATGGCGTTATGGTAAAGAATCACTGTAATGAAAGTTGTAGTATTTTTATGTACTTACCTATACACTGTTTAATTATTTAAATTGTAATTGATGTTATGTACTTACTGTTATAATCAACATACAACATATAGTTATTAATTTAAATAAAATTAATAACGTTACGATGTTGAAGAATTTAAGAAAATTATAATTAAGGAAGACAGTCTAATTAAGTCTAAGTCTAATTTATTTATTATGATTAGTCTAATTGATTACACTTGTAATATGCAAATGAGCTGTTTGAAATAAGTGTGAATTCGGTTAACACATTCTATCGGACTATGAAAAAAAATATTTTTTTAGAATATATTGAGATTCTCTTTTGTCCCTTGGTCACAAATACAATATTCTTCTTTATGTCCATAATATTAATATTCTTTTATGCTTATATGTATATATCTGTCCATGATGTCGGATCTGTGATACTCTTTCACAGTAAAAGAGTTATAGAGAAGCTTATGTATGTAAAGTAGAAATCTGGAATTTAAAGTATTCAATAATTATAGGTATTATTGTTATTCTATGTAAGTAGTCACCTACTACGGATTGTCAATCTGTTGTATTACTATCGGATATTTTCTAATCAGAGTTTTCAAAAAATCTGTTTATTGGACATGTCCAATTAAAAACAGTATCGTTTATTTAACTTTTAAAAAAATAAATGTTATCTTAATGAGCATGTAAGTTTTAGAAATAGGTTTTAAATTAAGTACTTAAAAGGATAAAAATATGTCTAGTTCATAGACCTAGTTCTGTTAAGTTTAATTAAGGACTTAAACTGGTACTACAACTTCTGTAGAAAGATTTTACTTCGATAAGTATTAAGTAGTAGTATTGGATTCTACTTATAGAATCCAATATCGAATCGGATAACGAATGATAAGTATTAAGTAGTAGTATTGGATTCTACTTATAGAATCCAATATCGAATCGGATAACGAATGATAATATCCAGATAATTTTTTCCAATCGAACATTATTAAGTCACGTATGACTAGAGTTCTTAATCGATTGAAAAAAACCAGTCATTTTCTATTGTGCTGCTGCCTACTGGATTAGGAAAATGCAGATATTAGTTAAGGTCATTTTAGACTACACAATATTCAGTATGCTGTGCTGTATCAGGGCCAGATTTTGGGATGTGGCCCAGGGGCCACAAGAAAGGGCTCCACAACAGAGATAAAATAAACAGGGGCCTCTACTATTTCGTTGCCCCAAGCAGGGCAGTCGGGGCTGTGGCCCAGGGGCCCCCACAATAAAGGGGATAACCAACCACAACATGATAACCAACCAGGAAGGATTTGAACCCCATCGTAAGTGCGGACCGGGTGCCAGATTTATAAAATACGCCTACGTTAGGGGCCGCTTCTCACGTTACCCCAGAGCTCCCACATCTCTAAGTCAGGCTCTGGCCCTAGTGCTTCTAAATCCTCCTCAGGCTCCAAGACCTCTCAATCAAGCCATGTGCAGTGTAATCAGAGATATAGTTATGTGTTAAAAAATGCGCTGTCTAGTTAAACTAACGTCCAGTATTACTATTCAATCCCAGCTAAATGATAAGCTAGTTCTGGTTGAGTTTTTAGCAGTCGTTACTTTAATTAATTAACATGTAACCTGAAAGATTGATATTGGCTAAGTCTCGCTCGATGTCACGCTGCTGAAAATTGTATTGTTTAATAGCAACCGGCTTAAATCTTAAGTGCGTAAGTATTATTCTATGTGTGGC